GGGCTCGATCCCAGGACCCTGGGATCATGACCTGAGCCGAAGGCAGCTGCTTAACCAACTGAGCCACCCAGGCGCCCCCCTGGAGATTTATAAGGGAAATTTTGAGGGATGGCCTTAGAGATTTCAACTATAGCTATTTCTAGTGTCAAGGAAATATTTCTCTCATCTCAGTGTAAAGGGCTAAACTGACCCTAAACCCAAGTCTTCCCTACAACAGTTCAAACCCACCACTCCTGACTCCAATGGTACTAATGGACTGCCAAACAGAACCCTGCATTCTCCCTAGCCAAGAGTCAATCTCAGTATCCTGAGGGAGAGAAATACTGGGAGAGAAATACTTCTACTGTTTTTCTTTCTCCCCTTCCCTCTCCCTCTGGACATGGACAAGGTATCCTTAGAAGCTGCTGGTGGCCATCCTGCTCCCACAAAGGGAGCCAGCCTTAAGCTGAAGCTAACATCTTAGAAAACAAACTAGAGAGGAAGAGCTCCAATCTATGCTAACATAACTGAGTCAGAACTTACCTTACTACTGGGCTTCTTAATTATGCCAGCCAATTTGGACCAAGTTTTCTATTATTTCCAACCCAAAGAGTTCTAATTGATATAAAGTGATTTAGAGTGATATTTAGAAATCCTACCACTGAGGATTATTTTAATAAAATGAATCACTACTAAGGATCATAACCACTCAAACTAATATTAGCATAGCATATTCCAAAAATACCTTAAAATGCTATTTCTAATTTCTAAGCCAATATACTGAAGACTCAGATGTGACAGAAAAGACCAATTACTGAGAATACAATGGACTATTTATCCCTTCCATATATAACATATTACATTTGAAATATCAATAAATGAAATATTTTAACCTATTGAAACATAATCTTAAATATAACAAATAAGAATAGAATAAAAACTCTTAAAAAAGAAAAGAAAAAACTAGATACAGAGAAGTTGCTAATACTAAAATAGTAAGTAGTAAAAAAACAGTATCAGAATCACTTCAAAATATTAATCAGATGTTAAAATAATTTATAAGTAAATAATGTGCATTAATACTTTAAATCTTAAAACCAGCTAATTGTAATGTCATGAGAGCAGAGAAAAAGTTCCTGAGAGGAACACCGTATTGCTATTTATGACAGAACTATCAACTGAATAGTGCAGGAGAAAAAAATGACCTATCAAATAAAAAATAAATAAATAAATAAAGTCTTTCCAAAGAGGCAGACAATGAGGTGAATAAAAGACTGAAATAATGTATGGCTTCTAAATTCTGACATTCATTATTTGTTACCCTAAACAAATGTCTATTTTTTTAAAACCTGGATATAGAGAACGCTCTCTTTTGTTTTGTTTTTTAAGATTTTATTTATTTGACAGAGAGAGACACAGCGAGAAGGGAACACAGGCAGCGGGAGTGGGAGAGGGAGAAGCAGGCTTCCCACCGAGCAGGGAGCCCGATGTGGGACTCGATCCCAGAACCCTGGGATCATGACCTGAGCCGAAAGCAGACGCTTAACGACTGAGCCACCCAGGCGCCCTCTTGATTTTATTTTATTATTGCAATAATTTTAACATTTATTGACTGCTTACTATGTGTCCTAGGCCCTAAGGTAAAAGCTTTTACAGGATATCTCATTTAATCCTCACAATAATACTATTACAGGTACTATCATCATCTGCATTTTACAGATAAGGAAACTTAAGTAGTTCAGTACATTGCCTAAGATTATACAATTAATAAACAGCAAAGCTGGGATTTGGAAGTTTGTCTTCAGAGCTTGCATTCTTAACTTGATAATTATTATCAAGTTGATTATTTGAAAATTTGGACAAAATCAACTTTAAATTAATTAAAAGATTAAGCACTAAGCTTACTTCACTGCGAATAGCTGGCTGAGGACAATACAATGGAGGAGCCGGAAGATACAAGCCAACCGGCACTAAGCCCCGCAGCCTTCTACTGAAGTCCTTGGCAGAATTTACCAGAAGCTGAAATGTCTCTGACAGAATATCTGCATCAGCCATAACTGCTGCTTTCAGTACTTCTTGCACTGAACCAAATAGCAGATTTACATCTTCTTCTTCAATGGGATCTACCAAATACAAAATTAGGTAAAACAGTTAAAATTTATATTATGCTGATCCTATTTTGTAGTGTAAAATTTCCTACCTGAAAAACCTAATCATCAAAAGTGAATATATTGTTTGACAGGCAAAACAAGGCAACTTCTAGACAGAAATTTAATAACTATTCTGCTACTTTATTTTTTTATCTATTTATTTGTTTGGGGGTTTTTTTGTTTGTTTTTTTTTTTGAGGGAGAGATTGACCATGGATGGGGGGCAGAAGGAAGGAAGAGAGAGAATATCTTAAGCAGGTTCCACACTCAGAGCAGAGCTCAATGCAGGGCTTGATCTCATGAACCTGAGATCATGACCTGAGCTGAAATCTAGAGTCAGGTGCTTAACCGACTGAGCCACCCAGGTGCCCCACCACAGTATTTTTTAAATAAAGTTAGTAAAAATGACTTATGTCATAAAGCTAAAAAAAAAAAAAAAGCAGGAAGATACAAAACATTCCCACCAACAGTGAAGGAGGGTTCCCCTTTCTCTGCATCCTCGCCAACATTTGTTGTTTCCTGACTTGTTATTTTTAGCCATTCTGACCAGTGTGAGGTGGTATCTCACTGTGGTTTTGATTTGTATTTCCCTGATGGCAAGTGATGTGGAGCATTTTATGTGTCTGTTGGCCATAGGTATGTCTTCTTTGGAGAAGTGTCTGTTCATGTCTTCTGCCTACATCTTGACTGGATTATTTGGTTTTTGGGTGTTGAGTTTGAAAGAAACTGAGGGTTGCAGGAAGGGAGGTGGGTGGGGGGATGGGATAACTGGGTAATGGGTATTAAGGAGGGCATGCGATATGATGAGCACTGGGTGTTATAGGCAACTAATGAATCATTGAACACTACATCAAAAATTAATGATATATTATATGTTGACTAACTGAATTTAAATAAACATTTTTTAAAAAAGATAAAAAACAGTCCTACAATCTAGCTTCAACTATATAAGTATCTGTATTAATGTGGACATGTCCCAGAAGATAAAATGCAAGGAGATACAGGAGATAGAACTGGAGATTTAGGGACTTTTATATTATGAAATATTTACATGCTTTAAGATATAGAATATAATAGGAAAACACTCATGTATTGACTTTTCATCCTTGTCTGATATTAACATTGTTGATATATTTAATTAATATTTTTTAAAAATAAAATGTTTCAGATATAGCTGAAATTTCTTATGTACCAATCATATTCCACTCACTCTCTCCAGAGATAGCTACTATCCACAATTTGGTATGGGTATATTGGAACCCCTATTACACTGATGTTGTGTCCTACACACCTAGAGAGTTCAAATTCATTTTCCACTTCACTAACCATCTGCTGAGTTTGTTTTTAAATCGGTTTATAAGGTATAATTTACATACACTAAAATTCATCCTTTTTAAGTATATAGTTCAAATGAGTTTTGACAAATCTATACAGCCCTGTAAGAATAATGCCATCATCCCAAAAAAGTTCTCCTACACCTTTCTGTTGGCAACCACTGATCTGTTTCCTGTCCTTATACTATTACTTTTTTTTTTTAAAGATTTATTTATTTGAGAGAAAGAGAGAGAAAGAGGGAGAGGGAGAATGGGGGGAGGGGCAGAGAGAATCCTTCAAGCTGACTCCATGCTGAGCGCTGAAACCAATGTGGGACTTGATGCCACAACCCACGAGATCATGACCTGAGCTGAAACCAAGAGTAGGACACTCAACCAACTGAGCCACCCAAGTGCCCCCCTTACAGTGTTACTTTTATTAAAATGTCACATAAATGGAATCAAACTACATGTAATCTTTGTTTCTGACTTCTTTCATCCCTCACAATGGTTCTGCAATTCAATCATGTTTTTGCATGTTATCAGTAGTTTGCCCTTCTTCATTATTGATTATTCTATTATACAGATACATTGAGATTTGTTTCTCCATTCACAAGTTGACGGGCACTGGAGTTGTTTCAAGTTTTTGCCTGTTATGAAAAAGCTTCCATGAACATTTGTATACAGGTCTTTGGGTGGTTCTATGTTTTTATTATGCTTAGGTAAATACCTAGGGGTGGAATCCACTGAGTTTCTATTTCCTTTTTGTTTCTGACTCCTGGAAATTTCCCCTACTTTTTCTATATATTAGCTTTAAAATGTGTATTTTTATATTTTATCTACAGACACATTTTATCTATATATTTATTATGGGAAAGTTTTGCAGATTATTTAAAAAACATATTGCTAAAACTTTAAGTTCAGACTGGGACTTTTTTAGTCCTTTTCTTTCAAAACCAACTTTCATGTAGTTACATCATCTTTTCATTTATTTAAAAAAATATTGACAGGGGTGCCTGGATGCCTCAGTCGGTTGAGTGTCTCCCTCCAGCTCAGGTCATGAT